GTGATTATTGTAAATATATTGTTGCGTCATCGAGTCCAAGTTCTTACTAGATGGGGTAGGCGGATATATATAAGAGGAGAAAACGTGACGCGGGAGATTGTTGTAATGTGTGTAAAGACAGTGAGTAACTGAACTGCAGTCGGAAGTATTGTTGACGTTCGTTGATTAGCGTTTGTTTTAACGCGATTGTTGAAGTTGAGTGTATCGGTAAAGTTATATTCGGAAAAAATAAATCAGTTTTATTAAGAAAGGACTTGTGTCGCTTAAGTTTCGTCGGAACGAAGTTACGGAAAATTAATTAACAAACGGAGACGTAACAATGTTATTTAAACGTCAAAATTTCTCCCATAGCTCACATTCTTTCTGTAGCCTGTCCACACATACACGAGATAATGTAGAACACAATACAACAATGCCGTGAAACAGTGTATAGCTTCCTTGGCTGAATCATGATACAGAAATTAACATCTAGGATTAGGCTGGCACACGGCCACAAGCGGATATAGAATTAGAACCTTAGATACTGGAAAATAAAAGTGCAAATATGAAATATTCACTATGTGATAGTGAAATATCTAGCACTTTCATATTACACACCTTAATATTTATGATGTATATATATTTCTACATTATTATACTGTAAATGAACACTCTCTAGGTTTAAATTGCGTTATATTATGGTTATTAGCATGGGTAAAGTTTAACATAACAAGTGATAAAGTTCTCATATTGAAGGTCAAATACTCAAAAGGTAATACATGTAGTTATGTACTAAGTGTGTAATTCTAAAGATTTGGGGAATATGTATATATATATATTTATATACAGGTTTTTTTAGTCGTCTTTCTCTGATCACAGTGAACTTACATTCTAAACTAGGATTTGTAGAATATGCTTTTATTACCATTAATACGCATTTTTCGAATATTAGAAAAAACAAAAACATGTGATATTCACCATATTGCTTGTTTATGTTTTAAAATAGCGTTACGACATTCGATTTTCGCACTGAGTATATGTTTGCATCTACTTATTTTAAAGTTTTGGAACCTGGTAATAATTTAGATTTCCTTTCTTGGCGTAGTTCGCACCATGTTTATACAATCGTGTAAGGTGGTTTAGAAAGAGGAAAAAATCAATAAGATTGGCCCTGTTGTTTAATATGTAATAATATTAAAGTTAATTTTTAAATGGTAACCAGTGGACATAACATCACAATATATTTTTTACATAATTACATGGATTTGATGAGCAGTCAGTAGTTAGAATTAGTGATTAATCAGCACTTAGCATTTGTTATCAAAATTGAGGTTAATTAATCTTACATATTTATGACATGGTGAAAGCATTTATTCAAGTGCCAGAACATGTTATACCTGTTGGTATTTGATGATCATTCCGAAGAAGTAGATTTAAATTAAAAAATTTTTACACTTTCTTCGATAAAACGCTGCCCTTCAAAAACTGGTATTCAGCGTAACATTTATTTCTATTGTTACATCTCCGTTTGTTAGTTAATTAACTTTCCGTAACTTCGTTCGGACGAAACTTT